CCTGGTACGTGCAAGGCCCTGGGTTCGATCCTCAGCACCACATAGGGTAGCACGCTCGCCTGGCGTGCGTGCACCCCGGATTTGATCCTCAGCACCACATACAAAAAACAAAGATGTTGTGTCCACCAAAAACTGAAGAATAAATATTGAAATTGTATAAATAAATAAAATGAAGGTTTAAAAAAATTAGTTTTCACCAGCTTTATTTATTTATTTCACTGTAAAGATCTCTTCACACTGCCATTCGACCTTTCCCTAGGCTTTTTTTTGGGGGGGGGCGGGATACTGAGGATTGAACCCAGGGGCACATAACCCCTGACCCAACATGTTAATCTGAAATTTTCTTTATCCATCTAAGGCAGCCAGTAACCACAATGGTAGCCCATTGATGGCTTCTTTCTTTGAATAATGTTTTCAAATTCATTAAATAAAGTATACAGAATTATAAAGGAAACAAATTACCTCCAAAAGTTGTCACAATATTTCTTAAAGTTTTTATACTAAAAATATGCTGGGTTTTTGTTGTGGTTGTTAGTTTTGCTTCTTGTGGTGCTGGGAATCAAACCCAGGGCCTCCCGCATGCTAGGCAAGGGCTTGACCACTGAGCTAAGCTCCCTTCTTTCCCAAATTTTATTTTGAGAAAGGGTCTTACTAAGTTGACACATTGGTCTCAAATCTGTGATCCCCTTGTCTCAGCCTCTCAAGTAACTGGGGTGACAGGTGCACACCAAAAGCAAAAATAGGCTTCTTTATAAACATGTTGAATAACAAAAACTAACGGGAGTCTAATAACTACCAGGAGGGTATAAATGGCTTGTCTGTTAAAAAACAAACCAAACTATAACTTGACATAAAAATGTCTTGGATTCTATTTGGTCATAAAGTCACAGCACTTCTGTTCTGCTATGGCGTTGCTACATTCAAATGGGAAGAAATGCTACATTTGGGTTAAAGGAGAGAAAATCAAGATGTGTGCTTTCCCCACTAAATTCCACCCATGGAATCCCAAGTTAAGACCCTCTACTGCTAAAGTACAGTCTGGACAAACAGCTTGGGACAGAGCACCCTCCCACCACCTGGGCTCAGGTGCAGATGCCAATTCGATGAGTGCACCCAGAGTCTGTGTTCTCAGGGAGCCTCCAGTTCTCGGTGCTGCTGCTGTGGAAGAATCCTCAAGGGAGGCAAGACTTTCACTGGAGTGGAGGCGAGGGCCAGAGTGCACGCCTTTCCTGACCCTTTGCTATAGTTTGGATAAGTGTGCCCAAAGGCCCAGGGTTGAAAGCCTGGTCACCAGCCTGTGGTGCTTTGGGAGGTGGGGAACCTTTAGGAGGTGGGGTCTAGGGGGAGGAAGTTAGGTCTTGGGAGGGGTGTCCTTGAGGAGGATACTGGGCCCCAGCCCCTTCCTGTCTCTTTGCTCACCAGCTGCCATGAGGCGAGCAGCTTTGCTCCACTCTCTACTCTCCTCCATGATGTTCTGCCCAGCCACAGAGCTAAGAAGGCAACAGAACCAAGCAACCATGAAACCATGAGCCAAAATAAACCCTTCCTCTTTGTAAGTTATTTATCTCAGGTGTTTTGTCACAGTAATGGAAAGCTGACTAGCATACCCTTAACACCTCCAGGAATGGCTCAGGGCTTCCTGGCTGAATGCTTTTCTTTTCTATATGCTTTAGTAACTGACAACAGAAGGAGAACTTAGATAGAGGTTCTGAGCTCCTGGCACCCTGGTTACTAAAAGCTACCACAAAGCAGCAGCTAACAATCAGGTAAGTTTCTGACCCTTGTCAAGTTCCAGCACCCAGAATGTATGTGCAGATACCCATGTCCATCCACGAGAGACAAAGACTCAGAGCCCAGACAACTGACTGTGAAAGTGGAAATGACAATTCAAAACAAAATAAGCAACTGAAGACTTAGAAATTATTGTCAAAATTACCTTTGCTATTTTCCTTAAGGTACTGAAAATATATTTAAAATGACTCTTCTGTTTTTCAGCGACTTTGGTTGTCTAAAAGCTCCAGAGCCCTGAGCTTGAGATATAGTCATAGAAAAAAATTAAAACAGCAGAGAAAAGTCCAAGTCCACAAAAGGTGTAATTAGCAATACAATAGCCAGAAGTACACAAAATATCAAGGAAATTAACTTTCTTTGTCCCATAGAAGAGCTGTTTTTATGTTTTTAGTAAGAAAAAAATTGGGGGCTGGGGATGTGGCTCAAGCGGTAGTGTGCTCGCCCAGCGTGCATGCAGCCTGGGTTCCATCCTCAGCACCACATACAAAGATGTTTTGTCCGCAGAAAAATAAACATTAAAAAATAATTCTCTCTCTCTCTCTCTCTCTCTCTCTCTCTCTCTCTCTTTAAAGAAAAAAATAATTTTTTTCAGAGACCTAGGTCATTGGGCAACATTTCTTCTTCAGCTTCCTGAGGCTCACAGATCTCTTCTAGAACCACCTCTCAGCATCCAACAAACTGTAATTCAAAAGCTCCCTTCAACCCCACCTCTTGGAAACCTGGTTCTTTAAGATATAGGGAAAAAAAATCTCGATTTCAACCCGGCTGCGGAGCTGCTGTGCTGCTCTTAGGGTGCCCCCTACTGGCCACATGTGGAAGGAGGCAGCAAAGTCAAACTAGACCATGTCCTTCCAAGGGGAAAGACTGGGGAGTGACATGGGCCGAGTCTGGTTGCTGTATGGGAGCAGGTATGAAAGTGTCACAGCAAACCCCACCACGATGAACCAGCGCAATGCACCGGTAGAAACAATAGGAAAAAAATTCCAAGAATAGAAATTAGAGGGCTGGGATTGTGGCTCAGTGGTAGAGTGCTCACCTGGCATGCATGAGGCACTGGGTTCGATCCTCAGCACCACATAAATGTAAAATAAAGGTATTGTGTCCACCTAAAACTAAAAAATATTTTAAAAGAAATTAGAGGTAAAATACACACACACACACACACACACACACACACACACACACACACTCATGCAATAAGGCAAAAGTCAACGTTTCTTTGTTTTTTCTCAGCACTTTTGGTCTCTGTTGATGAAACAAAAGGCAGTACTGTCAACAGTTGGGAAGCCCCAAAGTCATGCTCTAAACACCTTTTAAAAGTAAACAGAAAGAATAAAGAACTCCTACAACTCAACAGCAACCAGACAGCACGGTTAAGAAGTGAGCACAGGACTGGAACCGACATTTCTCTTAAGATCACAGTGGCCAGAAAACACGTGAAAAAAAGATGTTCCACATCACTGTGAATCGGGGAATCGCAAATCAAAAACAGGCACCCTTCCTCTTCGGATCATCGTAACCAAAACCCAACAAGATGAAACATAAAATAGAAAATGCCTCATTATCAAGGATGTGAAGAAATCAGAGCCTCATGGGTGAGAGCAGAGGGGTCAGTCCAGGGCTGCAGCAATGAGGGAGAGCACTCGCCTCCCACCTACGGGGCCCTGGGTTCGATCCCCAGCACCACATTAAAAATGAATAAATAAATAAAGTTATTGTGTCCAACTACAACTAAAAATATTTTTTAAAAGGTAAATAAGTAACAAAGTGGTGTAGACATGAGGGAAAGCAGCTCAGTGTCAGTTTCTCCTCCCCCCCCAAAATTAACTAGTATTAGTTACATTTATGTTGCTGTGCCACCGATTTCCAGAACTTCTTCATTTTGCACAAGGGAAACCCTACACCTGTCAAACAACTCCCCACTTCCCTTCCCTCTGCTCTGGCAACCTGCGTCCTACAGGTGTGCCTCTGGGAATTTGACTGCTTTAGACGGCTTACCTCACTTAGCGAAATATCCTCGAGGTTCATCCATGGGGGAGCACCTGTCAGAATTCCCTTCCTCTTTAAGATGGAATGGACCGTGCCTGCAGACTGCGTTCTGCACGGCCATTCGCCTGTTGAGGGACACTTGGTCTACTTCCACGTTTTGGCTCCTGTGAGTGATACTGCTGTGAGCTCTGCTGAAGGGACACCTCATGGAGACCTTGCTTTCAAGGATCATGCTTTCATGGCCAAATGCCCAGAAGTGGACTGGCTGGATCACCTCCCCTGAGAGTCTACCACCCTCCAACTGCTGCACTCCACTTCCCTCTCCCCGTGGGGGGTCTGAACTTGAACCACCTGGCCCTTGAGGTCCATGCCCTGTGGGGTGCCACACAGGAGCATCAGTAAGCGTGCCTGCCTTTCTCCTGTTGCTCTGTTTCCAGATCATTTGGGGCAACAACACAAACCTTTAGAGAGGGAGGGAGAAAGTCTCCTGTCCCCACACCTGCATCACACCTGCGATGGGGACAGCCCGTGTCCTGATGGAGAGGGTAAAGGTGACACTTCCCATTCAGGGTGCCTTCCCATGCTCCAGCCGTCTGGGTGGTAGGGAGCCTGGGAGGGGAGACCCCTGTGCTTAAAGCCCACCTGGTCCGAATTTCAAAGTCCCTTGAACAAACCTGGAGGGGGATGTGGAGAAGCAGGCAGAAAAGCACCTCCACACTGACGGGTCAGACCCTGAGCCTGTTTCCCCACTGAGTTACTCTGTCATTTTCCCAAATGTGCGTCCTAAAAGGAGGCCCCCATGGTCCCTTTCAAGACAGTCTTCTACGTGGTGAGAAAACGACCGTTTTCTGCCTACAATAAGATCACAGCAGGACACATACATAGAAATGGCTTTTTATTTTATTTTGATAAGATGGAAAAGACCCCAGCACAGCTTCAATCAAAGCTAACGATTTTCCTGGCAGTTCATCGGGTAGTTTTATTAAAGTAGATTTGCTTAAACTAAGAGGGAAAAAAAAAGGTCTCACTGACCCTTGAAATTAAGGCAAAGGTGCTGGTAAGGAAAGTCACCACTGAGTGTCGCCCTCCCGCCCTCCAAGAGCCCAGGGCAGGGAAGGGGAGCACTGGTGTCCCTGCACAAGTCTCACGGCCGTCTGAGCAGCCCGCTGCCCGCTGCTCAGGTTCTGTGCAGAGCCCCAGGGCTCCAGGCGCAGTGCGTTGAGGTAGCGTCTTTGCATTTTGCAGACGTTCCTGTGGGTGCTCTTCGACCACAGGGTGGACGTCCCCCGCAGGAAACTTCTGGTCTCGCTGCTCTGCTAGGAATGCCCTCCCCGGGCCCCCAGTCTGCATCCTGCCCCAGACTCTAAGGCTTCAAATCCAGGGGGCTGCTTTCTTCATCCACGGGCTGTTTAGGTTTCAGCTGGCCGCTGAGGGTCAGGAAGGAGTACCTCAGGCCACCTGCCATGCTGGAGGAGAAACAGTGAATATTGAAAGCTGGGAATTCCGTGGTGCTGCACCAGCGGTCGCTAACACTCTTATAGACAGAGTGAGCTTAATTTGGAGGACTTTACTCAGATCTGGGGGGCCAGGGGGGGCTTCCTTGAGTTTGTGGATTCCTTGATGAGAATTTCTCCTCTTATTTACAAATCTTTGGTAGCAGGGAGTGGGGGGTCGGGGTCTGATCTGACAGAGAACATCAGAAACAAAATAAATGTTGTTTTTTTTTAATAAATAAACTAAATTTCCCTATGTTCCATTATCCTAAGCCAACAGCCCCCGTGCCTGGCCCAAAATACCTTTCAAAAGGCAGCTAGTAAATTCCCACAGCATCTTTTGAAGCACAACACTTTGAAGGCACAAGTTCATGAAGCCACTGGGCAGGAGGAAGACAGGTAACTTAGGGGACCTCTCTTTGAGGAAGATACGTGAATCAAATTCAGATCCTGGCCAGGTGAATTTTTATGACATACGTCCCCGTGAATCCACACAAGGGATTAAGTCATAAAAATAGAGGAACTGGGG